TCTTTCCTCTTCACGCCCTCTCCCTCCTTCCCCTTCCTCTTTTTCTCTCTCCTCCCTCTCCCTCCTTCCCCTTCCTCTTTTCTCTCTCCTTCCCCCTCTCTCCCTCCTACCCCCTTCCTCTTTCTTCTCCTTACCCCTTCCTCTTTTTCTCCTCTCCTTCCTTCTCCCTCCTACCCCTTCCTCTTTTTCTCTCTCCTCCCCCCTCTCCCTCCTTCCCCCTTCCTCTTTTTCTCTCTCCTTCCCCCTCTCCCTCCTACCCCCTTCCTCTTTCTCCCCCCCCCCCATCTCCTCTACCCCCTTCCTCTTTTCTCTCTCCTTCCCCTCTCCCTCCTTCCCCTTCCTCTTTTCTCTCTCCTTCTTCCCGCCTCTCGATTGGGCAGCCTGTACCCCGGGCATCTCCTTTCTTATGTGATTAAGGCAGGTGTTGGTCTCACCTGCAGATGCCCAAGAAGCAGCTGCGGATTATGGCAAGATGTGTCTCATCGCGTCCTTTTTGCATGTCTTGTGGCTGTGTGTGCGTGTGTGATGGTGTGTGTGTGTGTGTGTGGGTGTGTGTGTGTGTGTGTGTGTGTAGGTGGATGGATGGGTGGGTGTGTTTGTATTAGTGTGTGTTTATGTCTGTGTTATTTTTGTTTGTATTTCTGTTTGAATGTGCTTTTGGTGTTAGTGTGTGTGTGTGTGTGTGTGTCAGTATGTATGAGTGCGTGTGTCCAATTGTGCGTGCAAAATTGCATTTATTCTCGTGTGCAAGAAGGAGTCAGGTACGTTGCAATCACACTTAATACCTGTTCTTGCTGTGATCTGTTTCCCTCGTCCTTTCCTCCCTCTCCTCCCCCCCTCCCGTCTCTCTCTCTCTACCCTTCCACATCCACCCGCGTCTCCCTCCCTCCCTCTCCCCCCCCTCCCACCTTCGCTACACGTGCCACCCCGCCCCTCCCCCATCAAACGCCCAGGGTGAGCGCATGCCCGAAACTGGTTCTCTTCCCCCGCCCCCTTTCACCCCCCCCCTCTGCCTTCCCCTGACCTTGCCTTCCTTACCCACTTCGCTACCCTTGCTTTCCCCCCCCCCCCCCACCTCCCTTCCCCTCCCTCTACCCTTCTCCCTTTGCCCTCCCCCCTCCTACCCTACCCACCCTCCCTCTACCCTTCCCTCCCTCCCTCCCCCTCCCCCTTCCTCCCCTCTACCCTTCTCTCCTTGCCTGCCCCTCCCCCCCTCCCCCTTCCCCTCTACCCTTCTCCGCGCGCCCTGCCATGCCCAGTCCAGCTGCCCTTGGCGCCGTGATTACCATATTGCCACCTGCCCGCCAGCTGCCGCCTGCCACCTGCCCGCCCGATTGCTCGCCCTCGTCCGCCTTGTCTGTTCCTGGAGGCTGTGGGGCTTGTCTGCGTGTGTCTGTCTGTTTGTGTGGTTGCGTGTCTGTGTGGTTGCGTGTCTGTGTGTCTGTGGGGCTTGTCTGCGTGGTGTGTCTGTGTGGTCGCGTGTCTTGCGTGTCTCTGTCTGTGCGTGTCTGTGTGTCTGTCTGTGGGGTCGCGTGTCCTGTGTGTCTATGTGGTGGGGTCGCGTGTCTGTGTGTCTGTGGGGTCGCGTGTCTGTGTGTCTGTGTGTGTCTATGTGTTGCGTGTCTGTGTGTTCGTGTGGTTGCGTGTCTGTGTGTTCTTGTAATTGCGTGTGTCTGTGTGGTTGCGTGTCTGCGTGCCTGTGTGTGTCTGTGTGGTTGCGTGTCTGCTTGTCTGTGTGTGTCTGTGTGGTTGCGTGTCTGTGTGTGTCTGCTGTGGTGTCTGCGTGGTTGCGTGTCTGCGTGTCTGTGTGGTTGTGTGTCTGTGTGGTTGCGTGTCTGTGTGTGTCTGTGTGGTTGCGTGTCTGCTTGTCTGTGTGTGTCTGTGTGGTTTGCGTGTCTGTGTGGTTGCGTGTCTGCTTGTCTGTGTGTGTTCTGTGTGGTTGCGTGTCTGTGGCGTGTCTGCGTGGTTGTGTGTCTGTGTGTGTCTGTGTGGTTGCGTGTCTGTGTGTGTCTGTGTGTAATGCGTGTGTCGTGTGTGTCTGTGTGGTGCGTGTCTGCGTGTCTGTGTGTGTCTGTGTGGTCGCGTGTCTGCGTGTCTGTGTGTGTCTGTGTGTGTGTGTGTGGTCGCGTGTCTGTGTGATTGCGTGTCTGTGTGTGTTCTGTGTGATTTGCGTGTGTCTGTGTTGCGTGTCTGTGCGTGTCTGTGTTGTCGCGTTCTGCGTGTCTGTGTGGTTGCGTGTCTGTGTGTGTCTGTGTGGTTGCTTGTTTGTGTGGTCGCGTGTCTGTGTGTGTCTGTGTGGTTGCGTGTCTGTGTGTCTGTGTGGTTGCGTGTCTGTGTGTGTCTGTGTGGTTGCCTGTTTGTGTGGTCGCGTGTCTTGTGTTCTGTGTGGTTGCGTGTCTGTGTGTGTGTGTCTGTGGTGTCTCTGGTGCGTGTCTGTGTGTTTCTGTCTGTGTGTTCGACGTGTCCTGTCTGTCTGCTTGTGTCTGTCTGTCTGTGTATCTGCGTGTCTGCCTATCTGCTTGTCTATGTGTCGCCGTGTCTGCGGGGTTGTCTGACTAAGTGTTTCTCTGTCTATATTTGCATTTGTGTGGTTTAGATGGGTGTAGATGGGTGGGTATTTACTTGTCTATCTATCTATTTGTTTACTTATATAACTGTTTCTCTCTCTCTGTCTGTCTGTCTGTCTGTCTGTCTGTCTGTCTGTCTCTCTCTCTCTCTCTCTCTCTCTCTCTCCTCTCTCTCTCTCTCTCTCTCTCTCCTCTCTCTCTCTCTTCTCTCTCTCTCTCTCTCTCTCTCTCTCTCTCTCTCTCTCTTTCTCCTCCCGTCCCTCCCCCTCTCTATCTCCTTCCTTCCCTCCTTCCGTCGCTTTCTCTCTGTCCTCTCCCTCCCTCCCCTTCTCTCTCCCTAGCCATCTCTCTCTCTCTTCTCTATATTCCTCCCTCCCTTTCTAACTTTCTCTCTCTCTCTCCTTTTAATTTCCTCTCTCTCTCTCTCTCTCCTCTCTCTCTCTCTCTCTCTCTCTCTCTCTCATCTCTCTCTCTCTCTCTCTCTCATCTCTTCTCTCTCTCTCTCTCTTCTCTCTCTCTCGTCCTCTCTATTCCTCTCCTCTCTTCTCTATCACTCCTTCCTCTCTTCCCTCCCTCTTTTTCTCTTCCACCTCCTCTCCTCTCCTCTCTCCTCTATATTCCTCCTCTCTTTCTCTTCCCCCCTCCCTCTATATTCTCCCTCTCTCCTTCCTCTCCCATCCCTCTCTCTTCTCCTCCTCTCTCTCTTTCTCTCTCATCTCCTCCCTTCTCCTCTCTTCTCTCTCCTCCTCTCTCTCTCTCTCTCCTCCCTCTGTCCCTCTATATTCCTCCACTCTCCCTCTCCTTCTCCCTCTCTCTTTCTTCTTCCCCCCTCTCCTTCTCTCTCATCCTCCCTCCCTCCCTTCCTCTCCTTTTCTCTCCCTCCCTCCCCTCTTCTCCTCTCCTCTCCTTCTCTTCCCTCCTCCCTTTCTCCCTCTTCTCCTCCTTCCCTCTCTCTTCTCTCTTCCCTCCCCTTTCTCCCTCCTCTCTCCCTCCCTCTCCTCTCTCCTCTCCTTATTCCTCCCTTCTCCTCTCCCCTCCCTCTCTTCTCTCCTCTCTCCCTCTCCTTTTCATCTTCCTCCTCCCCTTCTCTTTCCTCCTTCCTTCCCTCTCTTCTCCCTATCTCCCTCTTCCTTCTCTCTCTCCCTCCCTCCCTCCTCCCTCTCCTTCTCTCCCTCCTCCCTCTTCTCCTCTCTCCCTCTCTCCTCCTCCTCCTTCTCCTCTCTTCTCCCTCCCTCTCCTTCTCCTCTCCTCCTCTCTCTCCTCTTCTCCTCCCTCTTCTCCCCTCCTCTCCTCTCCTCCTTCTCTCTCTCCTCCCTCTTTTCTCTCTCCTCCACACACACACATATCGTATTGCATTTTGCGAGCCCTTCCTATTGTTTGAAATACGCCACGCTTTAAAATTCAATCCCAACTGTTCAATTAGAGCCAATGTTCACTTATATCCGAACTTTGGAATTATTTTCGTTATTTTCTTTGCCTTTCCTGTTCGCCATTTATTTATTTATCTGATTGTTTTTTTTTTTTTTTTTTTTTTTTTTTTTTTTTTTTTTTTAGTTTAGTCGTCTTTTCCTTCATCACGACATTCTTTTATTTTTTCCCCTTATCCGCTTTTTTTTCTAAATATAATTGCTTTCGTTCAGCCCGCCTTTGTGTTGGACCATTCTTTACTTATCGCTATTTCTTTTTCCCTTTTCAATTATTCCGTTTCTAATTTTTCTTTGTCTTTCTTCTTTCTTTTTTTTCTTTTCATCATATCTTCTTCATTTTCTTCATGACCATCGTCTTCTTCTTCATCTTCCGCATCTTCATCCTTTTCTTCTTCGTCTTTTTTTTCTTCTTCCACATCTTCTTCTTCTACTTCTCTCTCTTTTTTTATCATCTCCTTCTTCTTTTCTTCTTCTGCTTCCTCTTTCTTCCTGTTCCTCCCCCTCCTCCTCCTCCTCCCTACTTCCAATCCCCCTCCCTCCTCCTCCTCCTCTTCGTCTTCCCCTTCCTTCCCTTCCATCCATCTCACCCCCCTTTCTTCTCTCCTTCTTCTATCTCTCCTATCTATCCTCCATCCTTCTTCCATCTCTCCTATCTATCCTCCATCCTTCTTCCATCTCTCCTATCTATCTTCCTTCCTTTTTCTATCTCTCCTATCTATCCTCCATCCTTCTTCTATCTCTCCTATCTATCTTCCTTCCTTCTTCTATCTCTCCTATCTATCTTCCATCCTTCTTCCATCTCTCCTATCTATCTTCCATCCTTCTTCTCTCTCCCCTATCTATCTCCCTTTTCTTCTTGTTTTTTTTTCTTCCCTGTCCCATTCTCACGACAAGAAACATCACCTCCTATTTGGACTATTGATGATGTGCCGAAATTCATGACAGGGAGGAACTTAAAGTGGTGAGGCGCGACCAGCTCATGAGTGTTGGGTGGTGTGTGGTGTCTATGGTGCGTATGGTGGCTATGGTGGGTATGGTGTCTATGGTGGGTATGGTGGTTATGGTGGGTATGGTATTCTGATGCGTATGGTGGGTATGGTGCGTATGGTGGGCACGGTGTCTATGGTGGTATAGGTATGGTGGGTATGATGTTTATGTTGCGTATGGGGGTTATAGTGCGTATGGTGCCTATGGTGCTCTGATGCATATGGTGTGTATGGTGTCTGATGCGTATGGTGCTATGGTGTTCTAATGCGTATGGGGCTATGGTGTTCTGATGCGTATGGTGTTCTGATGCGTATGGGGCTATGGTGTTCTGATGCGTATGGGGCTATGGTGTTCTGATGCGTATGGTGCTATGGTGTTCTGATGCGTATGGTGGGTATGGTGTCAATGGTGCGTATAGTAGTTGTGGTGCGTATAAGGTGGTTGGAATTACTTTTGTGTACATGTGATATGTGTATGAACAGATGTGGTGTTTAAAATATTGTGTGTTGTCATTTGTTGTTGGCCGTATAAGTGTTTATGAATGGATATGGAATGTTTTGATTTTTTTTTTTTTTGGGGGGGGAGTTATTTTATTATTCACTTATCTATTTTAATTATTATCATCATCTTCATTATTATTATTATTATCATGATCATCATCATCATCATCATCGTCATCATCATCATCACCATCATCATTATTATTATTGTTACC